GGCTTAGGCGATTCTCTTGCCTCAGCCTCCTGAGTAGTGGGGACTACAGGTGCCTGCCACAACACCCAGCTATTTTTTTGTTGCAGTTTGGCTGGAGCTGGGCTGGAACCAGCCACTCTCAGTATATGGGGCCGGTGCCCTACCTACTGAGCCACAGGCACTTATTTTATTGTTAATTATTACTTTCGAGACAGAGTCTCATTCTGTTGTCCTGGGTAGAGTGTGGTGGTGTCATAGCTCACAGCAACCTCCAACTCTTGGGCTCATTAATTTTTTTTTTTTTTTTGCAGTTTTTGGCTGGGGCTGGGTTTGAACCTGCCACCTCCGGTATATGGGGCTGGCTCCCTACTCCTTTGAGCCACAGGCACTGCCCAGAAAAGTTTTTTTTTTTTTAAGAAACAGAGTCTCACTTTATCGCCCTTGGTAGAGTGTCATTGATCCTCTTGCCTCAAGCTCCTGAGGAGCTGGGACTACAGGTGTGTTGTTTGTGGTGCGGGACTACAGGTGTGTTGTTTGTGGTGTGGGACTACAGGTGTGTTGTGTGTGGTGCGGGACTACAGGTGTGTTGTGTGTGGTGTGGCGCAGCAGAGACAAGGCCTGCGATGAAATGTCGAGGAATAAGGAGACTGAAAGCTCTCTTTGGCATCCAGCAATATTCTTTATTTTACCAAAGCTTATATAGGCAATAGTGCACGTACACACAATTAATCAATAATCTTATGACTAAAACCTTAAGCTCCAAGCCCCTCTTACTGCATGTACACAATTAATCAATAAACTCATGACCAAAACCTTAAGCTGCAAGTCCCTCTCAGCCTGGCACCCACAGGTCTACTGATTAACAGATAACCATTCCACTAACAATATCTAAAATTATTCTTGTACTGAATAATCAAAAACAAAACCACAAAACAAGGTCCTAGGGAAATAAGCTGTTTGAATGCTTGACCTTTAACAGACCATCTGGAGGCAGTCTTTCATCTTAGGGAGTAGTTTGGAAATAGCTGAGATATACAGGTACCTGCTTGCAGGCCTGCCCCCACGAAACTTAGGCAATTAATCACTTCTACGTAATTAAGCCGTCAGCCACATATGGAGTTCTATCTAGGTTCTCTCTTTTCTTTTTTTTTTTTTTTTTTTT